TCGTGTTGCATTCACGTATCATATAAATGATTAACCATCTTTTGCAGCAAGTGAGAAAGCCAGTGTCTTTCCTGGATCTTTTATTTAAACTTTACCATCATTTTTGCAGGAAGCATAATAACTTTACACCTTTTAAAGATTTTTACGCAAATGCGTTCATTCTCATCATCGCAGATATGTACATTGCATAAGTACATTGTACTACATGGCCCGGGCCACCCGGAAGAAGTCCCAAAAATACACGGGCGCCATGGCTCTATGCATCAAAATCCTAGAAGAAGTCCTGAACCAACACAGGCACCAGGTCACGAAGCTAAGGCTTTCGTGTTGCATTCACGTATCATATAAATGATTAACCATCTTTTGCAGCAAGTGAGAAAGCCAGTGTCTTTCCGGGAGTCGAAAGACTTGCAAAGCAAGTCGATATTCAACAAAGCTATAACACCCAACCTACGTCCCTAAAAAATGCAGGAGATCAACTCTGTTGCATTTTTACGCGACTTCTCCGACCTTCGGCACGCGGCGTCGGCGTCTCAATTGGCATCGCCTTCGCCAATCCCTTCAGAATGAGGGGCTCCGCCACCATCTTTGGTGACTTCACCAACATCGCCTCCGCCAAAACACCTTTTTCTTGGGAGGGCCTTCGCCAAGCAGCTTTGCAGGAGGACCTTCGACAAAACCATGATAGCTTGCCTCCGCCAAAGCGACGGCATGAGGGGCTTCATCGACACCTTCATCGTGTACAACAACATCGCCTCTGTCAAACAACTTTTGCAATATGGCCCAAGAACCTTCGTCGACACCTTCGACACCAAGTTCTACAACACCTTCGTCGACGTCTACATCGGCAAACTTGGTTCGGAACACCTACTTCCACTACTACAACTACGTCGCCTACACCAAGCGTCACTAAGGACCTGGTCACGAGCACTAGCCAAGAGGGGCTAGGGAAGCATGCGGAGGACCAGCTTCTCCAGGGCATCAAGTCTTTTTGTCTGGTGCTCGTGAGCAACGGTTTGAATGCCTCACAACAACCTTCTACCTCGACTACTACGACTACGTCTACTACACCAATCGTGGCTAAAAACTTCGGTCACAACGCCAGCCAAGAGGGGCTAGGGGAGTGCACCGGAGGACCAACCACTCAGGAGCGTGAGGTCTTTTGCCTGGCGCTCGTGAGCGAAGATTTATTCGAAGACTTCCACCCAAAGAAGAATTGGAGACGAAGACCGCCGCCCAAAGAAAAGTCGAAGACTACCACCCAAAGAAGGATCGGAGACAAAGACCTCCGCCCGAAGAAAAGTCGATGACCTACGGAGGCCTACGCGCCAAGACGATACCAGACTCAAAGGCGAAGACCTCAAAAATGAACACCTGCGAAGGCCTTGGAAGCAAAGACCTACACATCATGAAGGCACTAGAGGCGAAGACCCCAGAGATGAATACCTGGGAAGGCCTCAGAGGCGGAGACCTGCACGCCGAGATGACACTAGAGGCGGAAGACCCGAAGGTGAAGACCTCAGCACCGAGAAGAGACGGAGACGAAGGCTCATACAATCGGGCCTTGGAGACACACCTGCGCGCCAAAAAGACATCAGAAGCAAAGGCCTCAAGGATACAGACCTACGCATCATGAAGGTCGTAGAAATGAAGACTAGAGCACTAAGCGAAGCCGATGAACCATGCTATAGAAGTAGCAGAAGGAGCCGAAGGCCATAGATGAAGAAATCTGGAAGATAAAGGCACCCAGAGCTAAAAGCTTAAGGAATTAGTGCATGTATAGGTTAGAGTCATGCGCGTGCTCTTTTCTCCATGCCCTTTTTTCCCATAGGGTTTTTGGGATGGAGTTTTTAGCGAGGTGTGCATGAACGGGTTGCGGAGGGCAATCCTCGCAACCAAGATCTAGGTTGTATAGTGCCTCTTCTTGTATGAACATCTACTAGATCATGTAGTACCGTCCATAACCTAGTAGCTGAGGGGCTACTGTTGGGGGAGCCCATACGGAGTATGGGCCAACTACCCCCTCGAAGAGGCCTGATGAAGGAATAATGGCGGAGGTTGTCCCTAAAACGGCGGAGGCTCTTTCCAAAATGGCGGAGGCTCTCCCCAAGACGGCGGAGGCCTAGCACAAGAACAATGGTGGAGGTTCTCCCCAAGACGGCATAGGCTCTCCCCAAGATGGCGGAGGCCTAGTACAAAGATGACGGAGGAGTTTCTACCCAGGACAGCGGAGGCCTAGCGCAGTGATCATGGCGAAGGTGTTCCCCAAGGCGGCGGAGGCCCATCAAGGAACGATCAAGTCAGCAAGGCATACGTGAGGACAGTTGATGGGCCTCCAATGGGCGTCGGCTTAGGCCCAAGGTGAAGACATTGCGAGACGGTATGACGAGAACACCCCTGAGGTTAGACACTAGGGCTGGAATATTTCTGGAATGTACCGTAGCAGTTGAGGGGCACTGTTGTAAACTCTGCAAAGTGGTAGTTGAGCCCTATAAATAGGGAACACTTGTAACTGTACAGGGGGGCGGGTGAATGAATTAATGAAACCCTAGTTCTTGTGAGTCTGTATTTGATCCTCATTCTCTCTTTCAGGCAGTGCCTCTGTCGAAGCTAGAGTCCGGAGCCTCGGCCAAAGTCGAAGGCCTCCGCCCCTTTCTTACTCCCACTTCGCCAAAGCCTATTGAATCCCTCGTTTAGCGACCTTCTACCCGGAGCCTCTGATGGATGATCTTGTCCAACAGGAGAGCGCCGCGTTCAGGGACCTCCGCCCGTCTTAGGCGGAGGCCGGCCTCCGCCATCTTAGGCGGAGACCCCAACCTAAGACGAAGGCCTCCGCCCACTTCTCACTCTTGTTAGAAACCGATGTTTCAATAGCAACTTTTTTTTACCCAATAAACACTTCTACTCCCGGTTGGAGGAACTGGGACCAAAAATCAAGACCTTTAGTCCCGATTGCATAGTCCCGGTTCCAAAACCGGGATTAAAAAGGGGTTGAGAACCGGGACTAAAGCCCGTTTCTCTACTAGTGTGCCATGATCCTAAAGAAATATGATGAACGGCCCAGCGCATCTAAAATTATGTTTGATCGGATGGAGCTTTGGGCTAGAATTATAAACCTACCTCTAGGATGGATGAACCTGTAGCGGGGAATTCATGCCATGGTCTTGGCGAGCAATGTGATTAAGATGGATGATGATGGAGATGGGAAAGCTAGTAGAGGATTCTTACGTGTCCGGGTGGCTGTTGAGATCGACAAACCTCTCCGTCGGGGTGTCCTTCAGATGAGCAAAGTGGAGGAACCGAAATGGTTTGATGTGCTTTATGAATGACTCCCTTTCTACAGTTTTGCGTGTGGCATTATGGGCCACTCGGAGGTTGAGTGCCCAAACCCGGTCCCTCGGAATGGTCTTTTTTTTTGCGCAAGGGTGCCACGGAATGATCATGGCAAGCTACCGTATGATGTTCAGCTACGAGCACCAGAAGACCGGCGCAGGCGTCTGCAATCCTTCGCGGATGTGGCGGCGAAGTCCTGGGGGACTTGTTCTTCATCAGGCCTCAAACCTCTACGAACAGGGAAGATGGGAAGTGGTCGCTCAACCAGGGGGCACGGAGGGTCATGCTACTCCTCCTGGAGCCCTATAGTTGACGTCGGTGATACGGAGGTGCAATCCCCACTGAAAGAGTCTGATGTCTACCAGAATGTATGATGATAGGGTGATGCGTTTCTAATGTAAGAAGGCATTATGTGCCACACTGTTCCGATTCACGCGCTGCACTGCATTGATCAGGGAGCCACCATCGCCCCTTGTGATCCTAAGTCTCGATCCGCTGCTGGCCGATCGGTGCATTGCCACCATTCATGCGTCCTTGCGACCACATATGGCAGTGCAGATCTTTGCCATGGCCCCATGGGAGTTTCTGGGCCACCATCACTCTCTTCTACTATTTCTCTGCTAACAGATCGACAAGTACGCTTGTCCTACCCTTCTGTTCTCACCTCACATGTAAGGCAAGCTCATGTTTAATTAACTCAACGTTAATTCATCATGGACATGCTTCTACCTTTAGGAGCACTCCTCTGCTCTCTTGCCAAGATCAACAACTTGCATGAATCATTAATAGAACACATCTCTAGCTTATTATGAAGAAGATTGCTTAGAGATCAGAGGTAGACATTGTTTATTCATGCACTCATTTACTATGGATTATTCGCTCATCAATTGCTTGAATTGTTGAATAGTCATTTCTTTCATTTTTAATTTTTTGAATTATTCTAGAGTACGGAGGATCGGAGATGTTGTCTTGTGATGATACTTTGATGGTCTCAAATCATTGACAACAGTTGCAGAGGTGGATATGTTGAATCAACACAAAACAACTCTGTGTTGTCCATGCTATGATTGTGTGAATGAACAGCAGTAGGGCCCCTCGCTAGCGCTTGCGTGCTGCAGCATGTGGCACCATCGAGTACTCGGTCGGTGCCCTTAGCCGAAGGCGCGCATGCACGAGACAAGCCATGGTAGCAACACGACTCTATTGACCGGCGGTGAGCTCGCGCAGGGCCATACTCTCCTGTAACGAAATCATATGAAACATTCCCGAAGCAGAAAGACTCATCGTCACTACGTCATATGTGCATAATGGAGACACCCCATTTATTATTGACATGTATTCTAGACGCGAGTGTAATGTATGATTAGAGACACATGTTTATGGAACATGTCTCAAATAAGTGGTTCCCCACAGGCGCAGTAGACATAGCCGCGCGGCGGCCGTAGCCCACTGGGCGCTGGCCAGCAAGGAACACCTTGTATGTGCCTTGACCTTCCGTGTCCGTGGGCTAGCGAAGTAGCATGGGAGGCACCAGTGTTGAATTAGGGTAGCCAAACAATCCTTTTGGTTTATATTTAATAAAGAACATCATTATTCCGAGAAAGGGAAAAGGAGAAAAAACATACAGAGCCAACAAGCAATTATACAGATTTATTGTTTTCAAAGAATCATATAAGATCATGGAGCATGGTTGTTTTTAGCATTAAACCGGCTTTGGATTTCACGTGCCCATAATTTTCTGTCTCATTTGGTGATCCCTCATTCCCAAGCGCAAAGGCAGCTGCATCCAAGGTCTTGGACAGACCACTGCTGGACTTGGACGTGACCTTCTCCGGTGAGGCCTCTGGGACGTACACCTCGACGATGCTAATCCAGAGCATCAGCTCCTTAATCTTGACGCCAGTGATCTTCCCCAGCTTGCCCTTCTCGATGAACGCCGTGACCTCGGTGGCGTATGATGCTGTCTTCTTGATCTTCTTGAAGGTGTCACTACTGGATTCAGGCGCTTTGCCGGGTGCCGAATGCACCCGGCAAAGGCTACTTTGCACTCGGCAAAGCCTTTGCCGGGTGCAGCACTCGGCAAAGAGCCTCCGGCAAAAAGTTAGTCGGCAAAGATTTCTTTGCCGGGTGCTTTTTATCGGACACCCGGCAAAGACTTTGCCGAGTGCAAACCCGGCACCCGGCAAAGAAAAGTGGTCGTTACGGCGCCGGCTCCGTCATCCCTTGCTTTGCCGGGTGCCATGTCAGAGGCACCCGGCAAAGATTTTTTTATTTTTTTTCAAATTTTCTTTGCCGGGTGCCGTGCCGGGGAGGCACCCGGCAAAGATTTTTTTATTTTTTTTTATAATTTCTTTGCCGGGTGTCGCACCGCGGGGGCACCCGGCAAAGAGTTTTTTTTTTTTTTCGTAATTTCTTTGCCGGGTGCCAGGTCATGGGGCACCCGGCAAAGAATTTTTTTTTTTGAAAAAACTTTGCCGGGTGCCCTAGCCCTGGCACTCGGCAAAGCTGGGATGAATCTGCAGATGCGATTATGACCACTGAAGAATCCCCTGGGACAAACTGTTTAAGGAGCTATTATTCAGTTTAACAAGCCAAAAATATCTTAACTCTGGTGCAGAATGATTCACATCACAACACAATGTTTAGTCAAAATAAGCACCTGAAATCCTGTTATTTTCTTCTGGCTAGATTTTCTTCTCTTGTTTTGCAGGTCGATCTGTGTTTTGTAGCAAAGCATGTCATCTAGCCAGGAGAAAGGAAAAATATAAGGTTAGGCTTGCAAGACACCGAACAGGAAATAAGGTCTTTGAATGAGAGTTGAGAACAGAACTAAAATGCAAGCCGATGTACCAGATGTATCGTACAGATGGCAACTGCCCTTGTGGGACCCAACCAGCGCGCCCTGAGACAACATCTTAAGGTATTAGGATGAACAACTAGCAGCTCCACTTGACCAAAATTAAGAAACTATGAAATAGATCAAATTCAAACCTTTCCATCTGGAGTATAGCAGGCAGCAGTAACCATTTCATGAAGATCGACCCAATCAACAATTTCACGCTTTGGAATACTCCAGATACGAACCTTTTCATCCAGGGAACCACTAATGAAGTATCTATCATCAACAGGATTGAACTGGATGCAAGTCACTGAATCAAAAAGAAATTATATTAGACGGACAATGTTGTTGCAGTGCTTAGACAGTGAGAGGGACGGGGTGGGGTGATTCTGAAGTGATGTTCGTACCATAGTCAGTGTGTGAGAAGGTTTTCAAACAATAAGTGCTTGACATGTGCCACAACCGTACTGTTTTATCCATTGATGATGAAAGCAAATACTGCAGGAACTAAAAGATGGATATAAGGGATGCTGAACTAGCAGGAAACTACAATGAATTCATAATAATTATACTTCAAATTCAACATGCTGTAGAAATGGATATGCCTTTACTAACAGCAGCAAGTATACCAAGAGACGAGCAAGACAAGTACCTAGCAAAAAAAAAAACAAAAATGCTGTGCATGGTGTCTGGCTGTCCGCATATGCTTTCAGTGTATTTGAGTACAGAGTAGCTTGACTAGTTATGAGCACTGATTCCTAAATAAATACCAATGGAATAGTTAATTTGCACTTTTAAAACCAAGATTTATCCATTTAAAACAAGACAAATCTCATTTCATCTTAGAGATATAGAATACCTAATTCATGATTTTGTCAAAGTATTTGCTATCCATAAACTATTCAAAAAAGAGGTCTGACAGAGGCAAACCTACACTACATCAAAGTTAACTTATTCTATTTAACTTCTCTAACTTTGGCCAAGTTTATAGACAAATATATTAACATCTACAATGCCAAATAAAAGCATTGTCAAGACATATTTGATGTTGGATTTAATGAAACTAATATGATGCTGTAGATGTTGGATCATTTTTCTATGAACTTGGTCAAAATTAGAGAAGTTTGGTTTAGGTCAAAGCTAAAACAGTGTACATTTTGGAACAGAGGAAGTAAATTACAACTCTCTTGACAAGCTTAATACCGTCTTTGATCTGATGCAGAGAAAGAATGAATATCGATTAACAAAATCGGAATCTTACGGGTAAAAAACACAGGGGAAAAAACTTTCAATTCCAGTTCAGTATCATGAAACTGGTTAGCTGACATTCAAATGTAGGACTCAAATATCTACATTTTGACAGCACACAAAAATATCATCTAGATCACAGACAATAGGTTCTCCAAATGCCAATAAGTTAAGAAAGAACTGTGTTGTAGGTCTCTGAACTTGTGCGGTAGCGGTAGTCACCTAGCCGGCTAGCCGGCTAGCCAGGCAAACTTGCAAATTACTTTCTCATCTCCTTCAACTGGCACAGTTGTCACACCTAGCCCCTAAACTTGCACAGTTGTCTGATTTAACCCCCTAAACTTTGCTTCTGTTCAGGGGTTTTGGTGAGACCCATGCAAGTTCAAGGGGCTCTAAAAGTTTGAGGGGTTAGTTGAGACGACCAGGCAAGTTTAGGAACCTGCAGTGTAATTCCTGCTTAGTTTTTACGTGCTGAACTTTCTAGATGCACTGAGACGGAAATTAAAACCATAGTAAAATGGCAATGTATAAGCGTGTAGAGACCATGTCTTAGTTACATGTAGAGAGCACCTGGGTCTTATGCACATGGTAAAAGCTTGGGTACACGTGGGAGCAATAAAGTCAATTTACCTATCGCAAAAACGAAAATGCATAAATGGCAGCTGGTCAAGTTTTCCTTTCCAGACAGTGCACCAGTTGCACTATGCCAGATCTGGATGCCAAGTTATGTACGCCCAAACCCAACAATAAATAAGTTGAGCTGGTGTGTGATCACGATGTTTCTAATATGACATATTGTTATTACACAGCTTTTGTGTTCTTAATGAGTTATGTTCGGATCTAATTTCCGTGACTGATATCCTACTTTCAGGTATTCCACATTCTATTGTAGCCTGAACTTTGCATTTACACTGAAAATTAATATTTACACATTAGAATTGAAGATAAATTAGAAATGTGTGTACATTACCTGAGATTTGGACCAGCTGAGATCAAGCACATCCTCTGAATGCCCTGCAAAGGTTATCACAGGCTTCTCGGACAGTGCAAACACATACTCAGGCACCATCAACCTGTCTGAGCTCACTGATCCCCCACTGTGCAGTACCTTTGATCGCAGCTTCTTCTCCCAATGGCTCCCACTTGGAGCAGCTGATGCCACCATCGTCTCTGATGACTCATTGCACACCATAGCAACAAGTGGATTGCACACCCCGTTCTCCTTCACCTCCCTCTCCTTCCCTGCCCTCTCGAACTCCAACACTTCCCAAACATGAATTATGCAATCCTCCCCGGCACTCGCAAGGTAACGGCCATCAGGACTAAATTTGATGCTCCAGATGGAACCATTGTGTGCCTGTATCTGCTGCGTCATAAACAGGCCACTGAGCTCCTTATGTGACTTCCCGTACTGCCGCACCTTGACTCGGGCGGGGCCATGGCGTGGAACACTGTCCTGGCTGTCATCCGTCGCGGAGCTGGAGTGTTGGCCGCCTTTCTCTGAAGACGTGTCCTTCTCGTCTCTGCTGCGGCGGTCACGGGAGTGGGTGACCAAGGAGCCAGCTGCGCAGCGGATGCTGCGGAGCCCCGTGCCGACCTCGCGGAGACCGAATTCTTCCCTCACCACGTACTCTCTGCCGTCGTCAAGGTTCCTGATCAAGCACCTGGGGTCCTCGTCGGCAGCATCGGAGCCGTCGGACAAGGAGGACCGCAGACGGCCGCCCCCGAGTGGCGGCTTCCCGGCGGAGCCCAGGGCGGCCCCGCCTGATCTGGAACGCGAGACGGGGGAGGCCGGGGGCGGGCCCGCGGCGTCTTCGGAGGCGGACCGGCCCGTCTCAAACCCGGCGAGCCCCATCAGCTGGACGGAGCGCGAGGGCAGCGGCGGCGGCGGCGGCGGCGGAGCGCAGGCGCGGGGTCGAACCGTCTGCTGGAATAGATTAGGGTTGGGACGTGGGCCGGCCTTTTTAGTCATGGGCCTTTGCCGGGTGCCAGGTGACGATGGCACCCGGCAAAGAATTTTTTTTTTAATTTCTTTGCCGGGTGACCCATGACCTGGCACCCGGCAAAGGCTTCTTTGCCGGGTGCCCGGGGTGGCACCCGGCAAATTATTTTTGTTTTTTGTTTTTTTGACCCCATTTTTTTTGTAGGGACTTGCTACAGTAAATATATCCCTATTTTAAAATTTGGGACAATTATGAGCTTTTTAACTATATTTCCTTAATTTTTTTCGTTTCATTGAATTTTTCAGGCTATTCAAATTTGAATTGCATTTACATGTGAATTTGGTCATTCAAAAAAATAGTTTCATGATATTTAGGCTATGTCGACATGTGATGTGCGAGGACAGTGGCATGAAATGTCGCATCGCTTGATGTCGTAACGACATCGATGTGATTTTTAGAACTTTTACCAACCAGTGGCTCCACATGTGATAACAAGACACATCGACAAGTTTCGAAACTTGTCGACATGCTTGATTTTATACATTTAAATAAACTCATGAAAGTACATGACAGTTACGACAACATGATGCGCGACATTTCATGCCACCTCGTGACGGCCCTTATACATAGCCTAAATATCATGAATACTATTTTTTGAATGACCAAATTTATTATTTCATGTACCTAGTTCAAATTTAGAATAGTCGGAAAAATTCAATGAAACGGAAAAATTAAGGAAATATAGTTAAAAACTCATAATTGTCCCAAATTTTGAAATCCAAAAAAAATGGAGTCAAAAACAAAAAACAAAAGCAGGGAAGATTGCCGGGTGCCACCCGGCAGCTCCTTTGCCGGGTGCCGGTCATGGGCACCCGCAAAGAAATTTAAAAAAATTAAAAAATTCTTGCCGGGTGCCTAACGGCGTGGCACCCGGCAGGCTGACGGCAAGCTGGCCACCGCTCAAGCCGGCCACTTTTGCCGGCGGCCATCGATGGCGGCACCGGCAAAAACCAATTTTGCCGACGGCTGAATTTGCCGAGTGCCCGCACCCGGCAAAGGCTGCTTTGCCGGAGGCCTTTATTTGCCGGGTTGGCTGGCACCCGAAGAATTTCTTTGCCGGGTGCCCGATAAAAGCACCCGGCAAATTTTTTTTGCTCCCGGCAAATCAGCCGTTTCCTGTTGTGTGTGCTCCACCTTCTTCCCCTGCACCAGCCAAATGAAGCCTGAGTGGCGGTTGTACCCAAACTCCTGGATGTCCTCCAATGGAAGGATGCCGTTGGGGAGGCCAAACCCCTCCAGCAGCTCCACGGACTTCTTCCTGCACGTGGCGTCTCCGGTGAAGACCTCTGCACCAGCACGGTGGCACTCGATGCCTGGGACGCCATTGTTTCTTTGCTATCTGATTTTACAAATGGAGCTGTGAGTAGCGGCCGGCAATAAAAGAGATTGTAGTAGCAAAATGTAGCTGGCAGCTTTTAATAGGGATGAAGTGGTTTTGTGTGATGGGAGATGGAGCAACAGGGCATATATATAGGCACGCAGCTTGTACAGACAGAGAAGCAGTATAAGACGACGTGCACTCTTGTATTAACCATATATTTCTTTCCACATCCAGCTGCAATAAATAAATACTTGTAAGGGTTAATTTTAGCCACTTGATGCAATTAAAGACCTTCGAAGTAGTATGATTTAGGACCTACTGCCCATCAAAACGTGTCAATGAAGTTAAGTGGTTGTTTAGATATCAAAATTAAAAACTTGTTTCTAGAAAATAGGTTTTACCATGACCCCCTCACTTCCATGTGGCCATTCCCTCAGGTGTGGGCCATCTTGGCTTGATCCTTGTTGGGTATATGCAAGTGGGACCTTGTGTTCACGTCGATTTTCTGGAGTTGTGGGCCATCCAATCCATGGGAGATGATCTTAAGCCATTGATAGAAAACACACTTTGTATGCAAATCTCACTAAACACACTAGGAGTCTAGGACTAAACCTAGAGCAAGAGCATAAGCGGTGGCCTAACTAACTTAAGCACCTCGCAAAGCACCTACACGTTTAATGGCCATATTGATCATCAAACAATAAATTATACAAACTTAATGGCCAACATGGTCCATTTTACTTACACTTATGCTGCACAATATACGGAGACAAGGAGGCCATGAAAGCCATTAGCTTTTTTTTCTTATTTTAAATGTGATGAAGAATTCTCCTTCCTTTATTTCGCTTATGACAAGAGTAAGCAGATTAATGCCTAGAATCATATCATCAGGTCTTCCTCAATGATATTAATCAGCGAGTGTCCCAGATTACGTTAAGCCAATGGGTGAACAACGAATTGTCATCCGTTTTTCTAGCAAAAAGTTGATTCGCTCCGACATAAATTCAAAGGATTTTGTCATTTTGTTTGACAATTCATTATTTTCAAACATAGATAAAGTTTGTTCCAAGACAGGATGTATGGATTCGATGATTATACGTGTATGGCTTGTTGAATATGCTATTAAGCTTCCTCTCAATAAATATTGTGAAAACGCAATATCATAGCCGGATGCAATAATATTCCAGCAGTGTAGAAGGTGATCAACGCTGAGTCAAAATTATTTACCGGTGGCGAACTAATAGTGATCACCACCGGCTAAATGCACGACCCGATGTTGATCAATTGTTCATCATCGCTGGGTTGAACCACTGACCGGGGGTGACCAACTGCTAATCACCACTGGAGTGCACGTCCCCACTGATTGAAAGATCATCATTACCACCACCGAATCATGTTATAAACCGACAGCGATTACAGGATCAGCAACGTCGGTTCAAACTTTGAACCGGCGGTGACCTAGCTGTTGTCACAGCTAGATAAAATGGTGAACCGGTTTTGAACTGAGCAAATATATATATTTTCATACTTAATCGATTATGTGAAAGAATGTTCTCCTAACAAACTAACTCTACTGATAATTTATTTAAAATTATATTAATATATATATATATATATGTGTGTGTGTGTGTGCGCGTGTGTGTGTGTGTGTGTGTACCCTATGCCAATAATAATATAATACCACTACAGATATAAAATAAATGCATGGTAAATTAATTTGTGACAACTAGATAGGATTGTCGAGTATCTTAATCTGCTAAATTATCCACTGAACTTTTAATACTCATTTAACAAGATTCTAGGCAAGATCATGGGTTGATTAACTAGTCATAAAGAATAAGTTTGCCCACGAAGGTTCCATCCCTCCGATCCATCTTATTATAAGCAAAGCACGGAACGGACTAAAAACTAATGCCGACATGATGGAGCTCATGGTGTGTTCAACTACATTATTATACCGATCGGTCGTTGTCAGCAAGATATAGAAGCATATATTGCGATCAGCTAGACATATTTAAATAAAGTTAATCATATAACAAAAAAGATATAGTAGTTATTATACTAAAGCACGCATATCGTCATCCGGCCCATCTCTCTCTCTTGGAACTATGCTTATTGTAAGGTAGGTTGCAAGTACCTCCTCCATGGTGGGGAGCAGCACTGGGACCAACGATTGCTTTATTTGTTTGTTTTGGCATGGTAACGGTATTGTGAAGGACGGTTAGCAAGTCGCGGCGGGCGGTAACGTGATGCCGCTCAGGAAGGGGCGGAATCACCGATGAACAGATCCGTATCTGATTACGTGATATTTGATTTCGGCCTGAACGTAACCAAACACAAAGTATCGCTTTCCCATCCCCTAGGTAATCAGAAAACTTTACATATGCGCGAACCAAACGCCTTGCTCGTGCCATGCAAAAGTATCCTACCCCACGTTTAATAATTGTTAGATTAGATGGCTGGAGCTGAACCGTTTGCTCAAACTAGTACACAGTTGATTTTCGCTGATGGTTGCTATTTTTTTTAATAGCGGTTGATAATGTATAGGCACCAGTAGAAATAAAATTGTGAGTCCAAGCCGTGAACCACTAGTGTAAAAATTCATTTTTACTGACTGCTTTCTTAAGTCTATCGCCAGTAAAATATATGATTTCTACTGGCGGTAGTCTTAAGAAAACAACCAGTAAAAATATATTTATACTAGTGTTTTTCTTAACCTAGCGCCACTACAAATAATTTGAAATCAATTTTTTTGAGTTTATGAAATGATCTTGTATGGAGAAATGGTTTGAACAAAAGTTTTAGGATTCAAAAAGATCTACAATCTTTTCATTTAAAATCATTTAGAGCGCAGAAATTATGGTTTGACGATTAATAATTTTAAAATTCATATATTTTTGAATTTCTTAAAATGATCTCGGATGGGTAAACGATCAAATGCAAAGTTGTAGATCTCGACCAGATCTAAAACTTTGTAGCTGAAACTTTTTTTTCATTTGAATCCATTTAGGGCTTTAAATCTCTATTTCAAAATCTGACGGAGTGAATAGTAAGGGGATATTTCTGTTGTTTTGTCACAAGAGACTTTGGGGTGCAGTGGTAAGGGGTGTGATGTCTGAGCCCTGAGGTGCTGAGTTCGATTCTTGGGGGTCACATATGCATGGATATCTTGCAAAAAACCTGATAGCAAATGCTCAAAACCGTGTGTAGTTGCCTCGTGTGAGCCTCCTAGGATAAATTGTTTTTGCTATTTTTTTAGGCCAATTTGCAGTTTTAAAAAATTATTTATAGTGACGGTGGCTGTTTTGTTAAGAAAACCGTCAGTGCAAATATTTGTAGTGGCAGTTCTCTATAAGACTCCTGTGGAGATGGGATTTTCAATGGCCTTTCACAATGTCGGTCGGTATAAACGCCAGTGAAAATAGATTTAGAACCGCCAGTACTAATGTTTTGTGTACTAGTGTAACTCGCTGCACAATTGTTGCCGTATTAGCAGTGGCACGGTCATGGTCACCACCACCATCTTTTTTA